TTCTCCTGAAGCAGGACACTGCACAGCCATGTCGGTGCAGCCGAAGACGCTCACGAAAGAGGACTCCAGAGCTGGGCAGGAAGTAGCAGGAACGATGGCCTGGCCGAGTGTGCTTCAAGAGAGAGGGGGGTTTTGAGGGGGCTTCATGGCCATGTGTCTTTTATGGTAATAAATTTTTAAACTTTAAACATTTACCATATTTTTCAGTCACACTTCATAATTTATCTTGGGAGCTCTCTCTTGACCTCCTTGGCGGTTCTTAGGGCAGGGATTGCTCACTAATAAGCCTTACAGGACCTGGGTTTTTCCAGACACCTTGGTTCTTGGATCCCTTCCCCAGCTCGCCTTCAGCGGGTCAGTAAATAACCAAAATTACAAGCTCCTACTTATCAGCATGGGGAGAGGAGAAATGCGCAGAGTGTGGTTTGTCTCAAAGTGGGTTTGCTTGATCAGCTAAGAAGTGATGGATAGGCAGCTATAAATACGTAACACGTGGGCCACCTTGACTAGACTCTAAGGAATTAAATCCAAGCCACTTCAATTATTTATTTTTGTAGGTTATTCCTATATATACGTCTGATATTTATCCAATGAGATTATCTACCAACATGTGTTGTGAATTATCATTTGGTTTAAGATCTGAGATTTCTTTCAGCAAATATTTGACAACCTCCTATGTCATAGGCATTTTGTCTGGGTCAGTGGGGGACACAAAAGTGAACAAGAAAGGCCTGTCCTTGCCTTTGAGGAGCCCAGTCCGGCAGGGAGACAAACATAGTTGAGAAATAATTAATTGCAATTCTCACAAGTGCTTCAGGGAAAAGCACAGGGTGTCGAGAGAGTGGCTAACAGGGGACGAGACACACAAGTCTGTGCACGGGGAGAGCATCCCCAAGGATACAGCATTCACAAGGAAGGATGTGTGAGACATGAGGAGGCAGGAAGCTGTTTGAGAGCGGAAACCACACGTGCAAGAGCCCTGTGGTAGGAAGGAAGTTGGCCCAGGAGAGGAACTGAAATCCTGAGGCTGGAACAGAATGCACAAGAAAGTGAGATGACACTTGCACGGTAAAAAGCACTGAAGATAACAGTCCCGAGGGGTCCCACCTACAGTGTGGCTTTTATTCAAGTGCAACAGAAGCCTTCAAGGCTCAACCAAGAATGAGGATGCTAACATTTCTTCCAAAGCAGCACAGTGGGCGTGGTGGTGCACGCCTGGAGTCCCAGAACTCTGGGAGGCTGAGGCAGGATGATCCCAAGGATGAGCCCAACCTGGGCAGCTCTGTCCTTAGCCAGACCCTGTCTCAAACTAAAAAACCAAAAAGGGGCTGGGGATATAGCTCCAAGCAAAGGCCCTGGGATCGACCCTCAGCTCCACAAAGATAAATACATAAAACAAACAGCACAACAGCAACATATCACTGTTGCAAAGAAAATTCAAACCTTGCAATTTCATAGATTAAAAGTTGTAAGGCAGAGTATTTCCAACCATGTTCCTTAGGAATACTTCTCTTTAAATGTTCTCCATGAGTTAATAAAGTTTCAGAAATATTCCTACTGGAGTTGGGTGCATAATGGTCTGCAGCAGGTAAAAGTGAGTGCTGAGACACAGATCTGGAAACGATTTCAATGGTGTAGAAAATTTTCATAATTTTGGCCAGAATAGTAACAGTAATGGCCGAGGGAAACAGTGGTTGCAGAAGGCAGAGTCTGGGGATTGGTTAGGTAAGTGATTGGGGGAGGGAAGGCAGAGCCCAAGCATAGCAAGGAGACTCCAGGCAAGACGGTGTTGAGGACTATTAGGGAGATGATAGTAGCTACTAGTTATAACAATAGCTGTTCCTTATGTGCCAGGTGGTGTTCTAAGAAGCCTTTACTAGTAACTCATTGAATTCTCCTAAAAACTAAGAGATACAAGGGCTGATCAAAGACTATCATTATGTTTAACTTTACATATTATTATAGTAAAAGACACGTTGCCATTAATGCCTCTCAAAATCCTCCCCCTCAATTGCAACACACCCCTTTGTTCTTGCCACTTTCTGAAGTCATTCTGGAGTCCTCTTTCACGAGAGTCTTTACCAGGTTTTATAAAAAATACAGTGAATGCTGCTGCTGCCACCCAGCGCTGCTGCCATCCCCAGGAAGGCAGCTCATAAAAACATGATGCTGCATCCTCACCCACCTTATTCACTGGCTCTGGCACACGGGTCTCCGGCTCCTCCCCAAAGTCAAAATGACCATGAAAGGGAAACGACTGAACGAACTCACAACATCAAAGCAGCAGGACAGAGCAACTAAAGACATGAAAGAAGACTTCCAGAACTTCTTCAGAAGGTTTCAGGAAAGATGGGATAAGTGTGTTCAACATGAGGGGAAGCAATGTGTCTTTTACTGTGATAAGTGTTTAAAAGTTTGAACATTCACCGTAGTTTTTGATCACACCTCATAAGAACTATTATTTTTGACATTTTACTGATAAGGAAACTGAGACTCAGAGAAGTTAATAGACTTATTCTTCAGATAGAGGGCTAATATCTAGAACACATGAAGAACTCAAAAATATTAGACGTCCCCAAAATAAAAGACCCAATCAAAAACTGTGCACATGGGGCCAGGGATTTAGCTCAATGGAGCCACCGCCTGCCTCACAAGCACAAGGTCCCGAGTTCGATCTCTGGTACAAAAGTAAAACAAAAAATGTGCACATGAAATGAACAGACACCTCACAGAAGAAGCAGGCATGGAGGTTACCAGTGGAGGGTGAGAATGGAAGAGGAGGTGCTAAAGCTTTGTTGGCCAACAATATATATGCAACACCATTTTAAAGGCTAATAGGAAAAGAAAGCATGTAGGGAGGGACAGCGTGACCACCAATCAGCATTACAGGTCCTCCAGAGGTTAGTGAGAAAACTCAGCACGGCTGGCCATTGTTCTTCACCCACTGTCTTAGTCTGTTCATGCCGCTGACCATGAGCTGTACAGCTTATAAGTGAGCAATCATTGCTCACAGTTCTGGAGGTTGGGAGTCCCAGACCAAGGCGACAGCAGATTGGATGTCTGACAAGGGCAGACGTAGATGGCACCTCTTCTGGCCTCCTCACACGGTGGAAGAAGGGTTTCACTAGGGCTTTCTCACTAAAAGCACTAAGACCCTTTGTGAGGGCTCCACTTCCTTGACCTAATCGCCTCCCAAAGGACTCACGTCCTAAAAGCAACACCTTGGAGTTAGGGTTTCAACTTATGAATTTTGAGAGACACGCACATTCAGCTGGCAGCAGCCTCATTACACCATGTTGGTTCAGACACAGCACCAACAGAAAGCTGGAGTTAAGCCTGACAGGGTCAAAAAAAGAAGTATTAGAAAGCAAGAAAGAGGCCCAGCATCTGAGAGGATACTCAAGGAAGTGGCTGTAAGAAGGAATTCTGGGAAATCGTCTATATATGGGTAGAAGTGAGGACGTGAACAAGGAAGGAATCAGTAAAACAAGGGCGATACTATTGGTCCTACTTTTGGTGAGGGCCAAACAGTATTGATAAAGTTAGGTAAGTGTGAGACTATCCTCCCACAAAATACAAACTACTTAAAGACTTGAGGAATAGTTCCTACCTCAGGGGTAAACAGAGAGGTGCAATTTTCGACCCCAGGGAATGTGTGGGAATGCCTGGAGACACTGTCTGTCAGGGCTACTGGTAGAGGAAGGGATTCTCCTCCCCAGGGATACTGATGAGCAGCTTGCTCACAGCACGGGACATCCACAGCAAACTTGGACCTGGACAATCTGTCTCATCTTAGATTCCCCAGCTTCTATTGTGATATTTTATGTTGAATATGAGTATGTCTATGGACTGGACAATGTGCTACCTAATGAAGTTGAATTAGTCAGGTTCCTAGAATCATAAAAAAACAAAGAGAAGGAGGGAGGAAGGGAGGGGGCTCTGAGGGATCGATTGCCGCAATCCGGGAGGCTAGCAAGTCCCATCGTCTGCTGTCTGCAGCTGAGGTCTGGGCAGGCCACTGGTGTGATTCAATCTGAGCCCAAAAGCCTATGAACCAGAGGATCCAATGTGAACTCCTGAACCTAGGTCTGGACAGGATGAGATGCCTGGGCTCAAATGGCCTGGCAGGAAGCAGAAAGGGGTGAAAGCTTCCTTCCTCCACCTTATGTTCTATTCAGACCCTCAATGACTTTCATGATGTACACTCACCTGGGAGAGGGAAGTCTCTCGGTAAATCCACTGATCCGAATTCCAATCTTATCTGGAAATACGCTCACGGGCACAGAATAATAATATTTAATCTTAGCACCCCCTAGCCAGTCAAGTTGACATGGAACATTTAGCCATCACAGAGTACAATGCAAAGTACAATGTCCTAAGTCGCGGTATATCCTTAGCTAGGCTGATAGTGTCCTTAACCACTCTTGAAAGTACTACGACAGGGCTCACTTCTCACATGCAACAGAGAGCAACTATCCTGGCAGGGCGCATCTGATAATACCTCTCTGGTTTCCCTCCTGAGTGAAGAAATCTCTGGGAATCATTGATTTCTCAGAAAATCTTTGGTCAAAACCACTATACCAAAGATTGTCCCATGTGCCACCCTCCCTAATCTGGCCTTCTCTGATCTCAGACTTAAAATTTCTGCTTCCCTTTTTTTATGTTTTATGTCATTGCCCCTTGGAATCTAATTTCTCAGAAGCTAAAAATGAAACATAACCAAAGTGGAATGAAAAGGAAGGAAACATCACTGAAAACCATCATTTGGCTAATTTATACCCATTAGCCTGAGAACAAGTAATAAATGTGAACCCTAAAATAGGGAACAAAGAGAAAGTATGTCCTCATTCTCCCTTGCTGTACCTTTCAAGACTTCTTCCTGATTTATCACGTCTCTGGACAAATACACTTGCCCACACCTGCTGGTATTGCTCAATGTTTGCTTGAGTGGCAGAGGCTGAGCCAGCCTGAAGGAGGAGCTCTCATTGCCCTCTGCCCATCACCCAAGCTGAGCCCTGGCAGTGGCCAGCCAGCCGCGGACAAATGGGACAGTCACATCTGCTCCCCATACTGGGACTCCTATTCTTCTCTCTTATTCCAAACCAACTTTGCAAGATATGCGGTGAGTACACTTTGGGGTGGAGTTAGTCTCGTGTGATGGTCTCCTGAAGGCTAACAAAGAGGCCACCTGCATAGAGGTAACTAAGAGAAGATGCCAGGTCAGGTCAACACTTGTTTGGACTCCATGACGGATGCAAAGGATAGCAGTAGATGATGACAACAATTCCACAATGCGTATCAATTTAACAGGGGTCAGAGATGCGGTGTCAACTTGCCTAAATTTTCTTCATATGCTCTGATCTCTACCACATCAACACAAACAAGTAACTATTTTGTTTATTGCCAATGATAGAAAATTCATGATCCCAGAAAGGCCTCATGGGAAGGATCATGGGAACGTATCCTTGGACTGTGAAATACAATCTACTTTCCTACTGTTTAATTCATGGAATTTGGATTACACCTGTGTAACTACCTAAAAAAAAGATCAAAATCTCTTTCAAACAATGAGAACTCCCCTCTTGCCATTATTGAACTAAGAAATTTCAAGTTGTGTATCTTCCCCCAACCCAACTCTTCCCCGTAGGGTGCAGGTCAGAGCACTGTCATCTCTGCTCCAAGAGTTGGTTGTACAGACAGCATGATTCCTTTTTTAAAAATACTATAGCATAAGAAAGGAAAACTGGGCCTGGATTTGTTTGAGCCCTTAGTGTCAGAATGACTCCACATGTGCCTCAATTTCTTTACCTTCACCCATGCACAGAGGACTCTCAGAGGCCAGTGTTGAAGCACTTGATCCCTGAGGTCAGGCGCACAATTTCTCTTTTGTGAGTCTGTACCCTGGAAGTGACCTATTAACCAATCCAAAGATGACTAAATCATGCAGTCTGTGGCTGCACCTTCCTCATACTCTGAGGCCAACCAGAGGGGATCAGCATCACAGAAGACAGGCTTGTATTCAAGCAGCTGAAGCACAGACTGCCGACTCCCGTTTTCCCTCCTAAACTGTCACTTGCCCTGTTGTATTCTGAGAACAAGAGATCTCTGTTGAGGCTTTGAAATTCAACTCATTGCCCCAAATGATTAAATTTATCCTTAGTGGTCAAGGAAGCTGATTTGAATTGTTTACCAGGAACTAAGAAGTCTGCTTCAATGCCAGAAAATCTGCCAAACTGGATGCTTCCATGAAATCTCAAAAAACAATTGACAATTGCTGTATTGTATGTGCAAAAAACTATGGCCTTCTTATAATCACTCCATTCAGACTTTCCTATGTAAAGGAAAGTGGGCGAAGGAAATCACATTCCCTGGATTCTCTAAGTACGATGACAGAAATTTCAGTTAGGCTGAAAGGATAATACATAAAGCATTTTACAGCTTATTCAGTGGTTTCTTATCCCTGTGAGGTAGCAGTTAATATCCACAATTTTTAAATCACGAAAGTTACATAACTTACACATGGTAATAAGTTAGGGAGCAAGGATGCCAGCCAAAGCTAACTGGGCCATACTTTTCTCTCTACCCTACTAACCCATGAGATGATCAGGAGAAGGGCAGGATTTGGGGATAGTTCTCAAAATTATAGACAAAGCATATTGAGAAATTGTCTTGTACTTTAGGTGACAACTAACTCCACGTGGTCTTCTCCAGTTCTTTGGAGGCTCTGGATTCTCTTTTACTTCCACTGTAAAATGGGACTTCCCTCCAGGATCACCCTTGGGATTTGGAAATGCTGTAGGCTGAAACTGGAGGGTTTTCCATAGGGGGTGTACTGCTAAATAATAATCTTGCTGCCTGGCCAGTTGTCCAAGCATGCACTGCAGCTTCGGTGGTCAATCACCAGTGTAAAATCAAATGTTTGCCTTTATTCCCTTAGTAGTAACCCAATTCAGGTAGAAGAAGATAGAAGAACTGAATAGAGGAAGCAGAAAGGTTCATAGGTGGAAAGTTGAGACTGAGCCTCTGACTGAAGAGATGTCTTTAAGGACAGTCTCTCTGTCCTCAAACCCAAAGCTAGTGAATGATACCAACTATCTCAGGCAGGACAGTATCCTGCTGATACGTGGTAAGATGGTAAGTCTACACCAGCTGTCGGAATAGTGAAACACTTCCATGCTGGTTGTTAGAAGGGAGACGTGGGGTGGGTGCTCCAGACCTACCAACACAGCCTGTGGCCACAGAATTGATCTAGATCCATGTCATATGTGTTACTAAATATATTCATGGGATCATTGTTCCTAGACAATATTTTCCTTGTGTTTCTCACACACTAATACTTTTGTGTGAGTTAGCTGAGCCAACAACCATGAGGGGACGTGGACCACAACTCAGAAAGCTAACAGTGGAGAAGCAATAGGGATTTTAGGTAGATTTGGGTCCAGGCTTGGCCTTTGAGCCTCAGGGTTTAATGAAGAGAAAGGGCAACGCAGCAGCCCTGATCTACCTCATAATAATATTGTAATGTTTCTGCCCTTCTCTGCCACAGAGGTAAGTGAAGAAAACTACTTCCGCCTACACCCTCTGTTGAGTACAATGACCAATTCAAAATATACCACGGGAACCCAGTCTGCTGATGTCCTGCTGTCGCTCAGACTGGTCGGGATCCAGAACCAAACCCTAATCCAGCCACTCTCTCAACAGGTCAAAAAGTATGTGGGGAGGAAAGGTGAGTGCTTATACTGTCTGGATGATGTAAGCAAAGATCTACCTACCTAAAAAGGTCATCTCCCTAATCCTGAAACATAACCATCGAATGTACCTCCGCCACATCTATTCGAGCTGCCTAAAACCTGAGGTGACAGAAAGATGCCCGAAAATACCAATCCCATGCCACTCACTCTAGGACTTGGTCTTGCTTCTTGAGGTCCTAAAAACCATTTTCCTTCAAAGAAAATGGTTTTCCTTTTGTGGAAAAGGAAAACCTTTTTCCTTTGTGGATAAGGAAAGGAAAGCAAAAGGAGATATGGACTCTCACCCACTAATACTGATGCATAAACTGGCTACACTCCAAACAACACAAGGATGTGACCAGAACTAAGAAAGCTCCCAGGAGAGAAACATGCATGGGACAACAGTGACTGGGGGCTGAGTCCAGGGTCAGCCTTAAGCCAGTCACTAATTAATAAGAGCCAGTTTTCTAATTAATGTGAGAGGGAAATGAAGCCCCCTTAACCCCTCGTAGTATTAGTTTAGGAGTTCGGAGAAGCCTGAGAGTTTTGATACTCCATAAAGCAGAACATTGACATCAGACATTACTATCTGGCAAAATGACACCAGCAAGAGAAGAAAATCCCCAGGTTTTCTTATCTATTTTTCTTCTTTTTCACTTTTATAAAGATTACTTGTATACAGATGTATGCCGAAATTTTATGGAAAAGACTAAGATCCAGCTTGCAGTGATAACAGAATAGCCATAAAATCTCCATTTGGGGGAAAGGAGGAGAGTAAGAAAACATTAGTTCTGTGCAGACTAGAAGATGAAAAAGAAATGATAGCCAACAGAAGTCACTAGGAAGACAGAAGCCCAAAAAAATTCACGAGCTTGTGCCTTGTTAAACTTGAATGCTTTTCTCTACAGGGTCAAATCTCAGCTCGGGACAGCTTGCCTTGATTACCCTGGCTTTGGGAGCATGTCGCACAGCTGATGAAATCTTCATATATGAGAATCATCTACTCGGCCATTTAGAAAACAAGCTCCAGGCAGAAATTGAAAATATGAGTAAGAATCGAGTGTTCCGTGACCCTGGACACACTGGTCTCCTCCTCGGCTGTGGAACTGTAGAAAGGGTCCCTTGGTCTCACCCTCCTCACCCTCTCACTGCGAAGGACACTTCCCACCTTCTCTCTTTCAGCAGCATCTTGAATTTTCTTTTTAATAATGCTGACCTGAGCCTTGACCTACACCAAGCCACTTTACACATGATAGCAGACATACACACACATAAGACACAGTTCTTTGGTCCACAAGCTTGGCTTTTAGACAAATAATGAATTACACAAGAAACAGCTGAGCAAATAATGAGTTACATAAGAACAGCTGTGTCATTAGTGCCAAAGAATCCACAGCTAAAGATGACCAAAGTACAACAGCCTGACATACGAATAACTTGGGTTATTTAAGCTAATGGAAGATTCACCTGCCTCTTGTTATCCATAGCGTGTACCCAGGTAAACATCCAGATCTCAGCTGTATTGACTTACAACCAACTTGAGTGACAACCAGCCCTCAGGAAGTGATCGAGTTTGTAAGTCAAGGGTCCATCGTACTTTAGCACTGGGAAATATGGTTGCCATGGAGGCTGGTAGTGAAACACTATTTTTATGTCAACTCCCAACCAATACTTATCCTAATATTTATTAAGTCCCTCCAACCCCATCTTCTCTGAGATGCCTGCAGCCCATGCCTCCACTCACAGGATCAGCCTCACTGTTGAAAACGCAAGAGGTTTGAAGGTAGGAAAGCTAATCGTAGCCCTGTAACCACCTGAATATCTGGCGAGTATGTTTTTTCACTAGTGCATGTGTCCACTATGTAGCAATTGCATCCCTCATGGGGAGCTGGTACGTGTACAGAACACATCTTCATTCTACTTTTCCTCCCCTTCCTCTCTCCCCCCTTCTACCTCCCTCCGTCTCTGCAAAAGATCTGACTCCCTGTTTCCTATTACATTTATTCACTCTTTAATTTATTTATATTTTAAGTTTCAAGTCAGTATGGAGATACCTCAAAAATCTAAAACTAGAAATTCCATTTGACCCAGCTATTCTCTTTCTAGATAGCTTCCTGAAAGAGTTTAAAGACAGCATATTACAGTGATTCATGCATACTCATGTTTATAGCTGCACAACTAATGATAGCTAAATCTTGGAAGCAGTTTATATGCCCAACCACAGATCAATGGATAAAGAAAATGTGTTATTTATGCATAATGGAGTACTACTCTGCCATAAAGAAGGATAAGCTAGAAAGTCTTTTAATCTCTTTAGTGCTCTATCTTCTCAGTTATAAAATGAAAAGGGTTGAATTGAACTTGGAGGCCCTAAAGAGCCTTTAAATTTCTCAAGTTTGCTGATCCTCTGAGTGATCTCTCCCTCCTATTACTTTCCTCTCTTTAAATATAGCAAAATGGGACCAGAGTAAGCAGGAGTAGATGAAAAAGTGTGTTACCCAGGACCACGTCGTAAGTAAACCACCCCTTCTCCTCTGTCTCTCTCTCTCTCTCAGAAGCACACGACGGCAGCCCCCTGACTAACTACTACCAGCTCGGCCTGGGCGTGTTGGCCTTGTGCCTGTTCCGTGGCCAATACTCTACCAGCCAAGTTGCTGAACTCTTCGCTCCTGAAAATAAAAACTATTATTTTCATGGCCAATTCACTGTGGGTGAGTCATTACCCAGTTCCCTTGACGCAGAGGACCTGGTCAACGGGTGTTTTTGCCCTTTCAGTGATGAGCTATGCCTTATTCAGACTTTCATTTTCAGTCCTTTTTATCACTAAGTCTATTAGTACAATTTAGATATCCATAATGATCACATCCATCGTATAGAATTGGTCCCTGTGTATGCTGGATCTTGATTCATCGTTCCCACCCCTCCCCTCCTTTCTACCCCTATAATCTTCTTATTTGCCAGAGCTTTGTTTCCATTTTATCTTTCTTTTCTCATTTTTTCTTTTCCCTTCCTTCCTTTCCTTTTCCTCATTCCCTTGTGCCCTTTCCCATTTGAACATTTTCTTCCTATTTCCCAATATCTATTATACATTTTGGTCCTTCTTTACACTTTCAGATTCTCACACAAGAGAAACAATGTGGTATTTGCACATCTGTGTCCGATTTATTTCACTTAAGAGTATGGTCTCTAGGTGCATCCATTTAGCTAGAAATGTCTGAATAGAAGATGTAAAACAACTCCAGACACACTCTGCCACCGCATCTTTGACAAAGGAGCCAAACACCCTCACTGGAGGAAAGAGAGCCTCTTTAATACATTTAATAATGCTGGGAAAATTGGCTTTCCACATGCCCAAGACTAAAACTAGACCTATGTCTCTCACCATGCACTAAACTAAAATCAAAATGGATCAAAGATCTGAATATTAAAACAGAAACACTAACTCTGCTGGAAGAGAGAATAGGTAGAACACTTGAGGACAAAGATGTAAGCAAAGATTTTATTAACAAAACCCCGATCACATGCATTTTCCCCGAGAAGTTCAAAGTGAATCGCCATTCGGTATTTCAGAAAGGAGAATGTGAGATTCCTCATGCTCCTTTTGTGATGTGAGAGGGAAGGTCTATGCCGAAGGTCAAAGAAACAACCAAGTATCAAGCCAGATGAAGAACTTTCTCCCTTTTCCCCAACCCGCGCCTCATCCTTTCCCTTAATTATGAAGATGATGAAGAGCAACCCTGCTAACTGCCATCTTCTGCGCAGGATAAGGGGCTGTTTAGTCTGTAATCCTGACTTCTCTCAGTCCCTTTGCCAGTGCAGCTGAAGGATGAGAGAAAGATGGAAAAGATGAGAGCAGCCAAGATCTAAAGCGGAAGCCTGTCCACATGCGTGCACTTACAAGTCTATGTGTGTTTCATGGCCGTAATATGAAGTATTAAGTATGGGATACCTGGCAACTCAACATAGGGAAGGAATTGTGAAATGTTGGAGGGTTGGTACGAAAGGAATGACCGCTGTATCTTGAAATCCTTTCTCTCCCATCATCCATTAGCATGACCAACCACCCCGTTTCCGGTTCTGTGGCTCTGATAGCACTGAAAGTCCTTCCCCCCAGGACACCCTCCGCCCAGGACAAAGCGGGATGCTTGATCTGTGTTTTATTTCCTCACAGATACTGGGGCAATGGCTGTCCTGGCTCTGACGTGTGTGAAGAGAGGTCTAATAAATGGACAGACAAAGACAGATAAAAAGGATTTAAGGAGCATTGATGATCATATACAATCACTAGTAAAAAAGATTTTGTCTGAGAAAAAAGAAAATGGTCTCATTGGCAATACATTTAGTACCGGAACAGCTATGCAGGTAAGTTGGAGGGTGAAATAGAAGAAGGAAATGAGCCATGGAGAAAGCAGTACCTTGATGCTTTCTTCTGAGCTCCCTAAGATCGTCCCCATTCCTTGTTTCTGCACTAACTTTCCTTATACGACTCCCCTCCCCATCTGAAATGTATTCTTCTCACCTCCAATCTTTAGAGCAATAGCCAAATATTCTATGAAGCCTTTCCTAACTACATTTTCTTAGGAAGTTTGAAATCTACCTACCTTGTTCTTTCACATGCAATTTCACACTCTGCTATGTATCATACTTTCAAACATGCATCTTCCCATCCAAATTAGATTACTGTTGTAGAAGGAGCAAGCAGCAGTGGTAGTACAGAAGCTAGTATTTGTGTGTAGTGTAGTATCAGTATTAACTCACTAATGCACACAACAATGCAATAAGGAAAGAATTATTCCTTCCATTTCCTAGAAGAGGAGCTTCCGTTATAGGGGGTCAGTAACTTGTGAATTTTACACAGCCACAAAATGTTGCAGATGGGGATGGAACCTTGACATTTCTCAAAACTCACACTCAACACCTATCTGTTCTGCACACATTCCCTGAGGCCCAGCACTTTAATTCTGCACTCATCCATTGATATACTCAACTCCAAGGGGTAGATACTAAAAGAGAGCTGGGAAAGTTTATTTCACAAGTCACTGGCACGTTAGTATGAAGAGTTCTTTGCCAGCTGACTTAGGGCGAGAGGATTTTCACAGGAGAAAACACAGCAAGGACAAAGATGGAAAGGCACAAAATAGCATCATGAATTTGATGGCCGGGGTGTTCAGCAGAGCCAGCATAGGGCCCTTGGGAAACATTACAGGATGAGACTGGCAATGCAGGCCGGCCCGAGGCTGTTTGTATGCTAAATTTGAACGTAATATAAAACAGTGCCTTCCCGTGTGGCTGCACAACTGAATCATCTGACGGAGCTCCTAGAAAGCGCCAACCTCTGAGCCCCACACCAGCCAGGAGACACAGAAACAGAGGCGTGAGGCGGGGTCCCCGGGCTCAGTATAAAGCGCTTCGGGTGGTGCTGCTGCCTGGTGGGACTGACAGCCGGCTGCCTGCAAGAGCTCTGGAGGGGAGGCCTTGCCTCACCTTCCTCCTCGTGTGTGAGTGCTTACTGACACTTGATCAGGTTGGAGAATCTCCAAGAAAATGTGAGAAGAAGAAGTATCTTTTTCTTGGGAAATACAGAGCAGCATGTTCAAGCGCAGCCCACTTTAGCTCTTGCCCTGCTTACCCCAACTCCCCCTCTCCTTTACATCTCACGATTCTGCCCCTTTAGCTGAGCTTACATTCTGCTGCGTGGACAGTTTCTGTTCAACAAACGACCAGACCCTCTGCCGTCAGTCAGTCAGATGACGTCAGACACCTCACCCCGAGCCCCAGGCATTTGCCATGATGGCCCGTTCATTCCAGCCTGTTCTTCCACAATTGCTTCAAATGTTCCCTAGCCACCAGGCCTGCTAGACCAGGAAGAGTTGCTGGGGATTTTGTAAAACTACAGGTACCCCCCTCACCACCCGGCCGGGTCTTTGTGGCTCCTGCTCTAGGCCTTTGCTCATACAGAATCCTCCTCATTTCAGCTCTCAATGCCCACTTCCATCACCGCCTTCTCTGACAAAGCCTTTCCTGGCCTCACTGAATGTTTATGAGCTCCTCCCCTCTTTTCAGAGGCCATGACACACGATGCTTCTTTTGTAGCATTCATCCTAGTGCTCCTTTCATGACAGGTAGCCTGTGCACTGTATTTATTGAGTGTGTCCTATGTGACAGGTGTTTTTTCAGTATTCGGGCAGAGACGTGAATATGGCTCAGTACATCTATTTTCACAGAGGCCACCGTGGCTTGTGTTATTAAGCGACTCCCTACCTCTCCACCCAAACTCATTTATAAGCTTCTTGATGGTGGAAAAGATAACTTAATTAAGTAAGGTGCCTCCTGTGTTCTTGATGTCGGGTAAATATTTACTGAGCTAGATATTTATTGGAAGGGTCCCTCATTTCCTCTCTCATCAGGCCCTCTTCGTCTCGTCAGACCATTACAAAGAAAGTGAATGGAACTGCCAACAAACTCTGGACACAATACTCAAGGAAATTTCTCAGGGAGCGTTCACTCTTCCAGCTGCTGCGGCCCAGGTCTTAACTACCCTCATGGGAAAGACCTACTTGGATGTTGACAAAGACTTTTCTTGTGCCAGTGGCTTAGGTATAAGATCTAAAGAGTAAGCTGTTTTGCCTTTCGCTGTAACTTAACCCAAAGCATGTGTGACATAGGTCTCCTAAGGGACGCAAAGCGTCCAGATAAGCAAGCATGGCAGTTCTCTAAATTCAGCTCTCATACACCATCAGGGGTTACAAACCCCAGAGGATTTGTTGCTGGAGTGGTAGTCATGGGTTTTCATTCCAATACTGATAAACAAGGTGAACTGATTAAATGGTGTTCATCTCCAAAGGGATGTCTTCTGTTGGGGGTACAAAGATCTGAGCCTCATTCCCATTCTAAACAGAGTGCAGAAGTTGGGTATCGTGTTTCTGACTGTTGCTTTCTTCCCACTCGGTGATCCCTCTGGGAAGTAAGACATCTGTGTGGAGGGAAGGTGGCAATAATAGAAGAAAAACAAGGAATGAGTCAATTATTCAAACAAATGATTTTGCCAGAAGGTAGAAAGAAAGGAGACATTTCCTTTTATCGCTGTCAGTTCCTAATTCTGCCACTTACAAATTAGGGAGCTTGGACAGAATGTTTCACCTCTAAGCTTCAGTTTTCTAATGTAAAAAATGAGAACTGATAACAGCACCTAACTCTGATTTTTGTAAGGGTTGAATGAAATAATTCAGTAGGATTGTGAGTACAGTAAATATTAAAAGATTAAAAGGGAGACATGGACAAACACTACTGGATTCTGCACCTAAAAAAAGAAAACAGAAAAGAAAAGAAAACTCAAGACCTTCCTTGAGAAATGGACACTGGGGAAACTGAATTGCCTAAAAAGCTGGGAGCGGGGACAAATGCCAGCACTCACAAGCTGGTGAAGTCTCTTGTTTCAATTTCTACTTTAGTCATGTGAGAGCTCTGCCCCTTGATTGGTGATATTTGCTTCTTGAAACAAATCTATCCCTCTTTAAAGGAAAGGAGTCTTTAGGTGCTGGAGGAGTGTGCAAACTCTGACACCGTTTTTAATATTCTGACAATTTCTCTCTGCCCTTCTGTCTCTGCCAGGTAACTTCAACATCCCCAGTCATGAGCCTGACACCACAACACCTCCTAACTCACCCACGAATATCTCTGTCCATTATTCTGTGAAAATCAGTGAAATATATTCCACCACCATCACCGTGCCCAGTGGTTCTGTCTTCCTGGACGTGATGGAGGAAGCTCGGAAAAAGAATGAGACTGTATTTGGGTGTGTCTGAACATTACCTGGGGTTAAGGCATTTACTACAATTTCAAAAGACTTAGCAAGAATACACTGCACCCAAATACAAAGTACATTTAAAATACTTCGGGTACCTTTGCTATTCATCCACATCTCACAGCCGAGGTTATGGGAGAAAAATAACTAAGGAGTGGGAAATAGACATCAACTGTGTCACTCATTGATAAACACAACATGAAATTTCAAATTATTCTTTCCAGATCCTCTTCACTAAGAGAAAATCCACTAACATATGGTGCCTCTGAAATATGAGGTTAACATTTTCTTCTACTGCTTCCGTATCTTCAGCAGTTAGTATCCTGGGGCAGAAAGTTGAAGTTATTAACTGCAAAGTGTCTATTATAACCATTGTGGAGGTGGAACCATGGGTGTGCCATTAGCCAGGAATCACCCGGACTGTTTATAAAAATGCACACTCCTGGCCTCCAGCCTAGATCTCGGAATCAAATTATCAAGGGATGGGGCCGGGAAATCCATACATTTTTGTAATGACATCAAGTGATTCTTAAGTACATTAAAGTTTAACAAATACCCATGAAAAGTCTAAGCTGATGCAACTTGTTCCTTGTGCCCCACAGTTTCACAGTGGAACAGAGCTCATGGGGCCCCTACATCACTTCTGTTCAGGGCCTGAAGGCCAACAATAATGACAGAACCTACTGGGAACTTCTGAGCAATGGCAGATCATTGAGCCAAGGTAAGGAGGAGATGTACCAAAAAGAGCAAAGAGTGAACACGCCCCAAGCATTCAGGGGTGAAGGCCTGAGCTTTTCTGGGGAACGGACCACAGGGTGGAAGAGATAGGGCCTGGTGCCTGGTGGTTCAGTGAGCAAAGCATGTGACCCAGTTCTCTTCCTCCTCCTTTTCAGGAGTTGGTAATTATGTTGTCCACAACAGCGAAGGTTTGGAGGTTCGTTGGAGCAAATATTAACAACCCAGGCCTTCGTCACATGGACTGCCACATAGAATTGACCTTGTGCCTTCATTTTCATTTATCCCAATCCCGACAGGACAATCAACAACCTCCCCATCTGTCTCCCATGTTCAATAAAAGATCCACAGCTGTACAAAGAGAGCGTGTCCTGATCACTTCATTTTTGAAAAGTTCTTGGAGGGAAGATCACTCAGGAAGAAGTGAAGCGAAAGGAAATTAGACCCACGTTCGATAAGTTGGGGAACCTCAGAAAACTGGGGAAAATGGAGATCACGTTTGAGGTCTGACGTTTCAGCAGCAACCATTGAGATAAACAGAAAGTTTGTGAGGAGACAGCTCTCCAAGACACAATGGGGGGGAAGCCAGTGGTCACAGTGACTTACTTCATGCAGGCAGCGTGTAGAGAAAAAGAAGTTGCCTGAAACAAAGGGAAAACAAAGACGCTTGCGCTTCAAAAGTCAGCGTGTAGTTTGAGGAACGATGCCACCCACTTCCACTCCTGTCTCTCTTGGGAAGCCTTCTCCTTTTCCAGAGTTTATTTTCCTCTTACTTCCCAGTAAAAATCAGCCTGATGGGCCTGGGATTTAGCTCAGTGGTTTCGCTGCCTGCTGCGCAAGCGCAAGGACCTGAATTCGATCCCCCGTACCAAAAAAAAAAAAAAATCAGCCTGATGTTCATGTCAGAATATACATGCAAAAAGTCAAAGCTAAGTGACATGTCCACCTCCCCACTTAATTTCTGTGGCAAGACATGAGCAATGTACTGTCTTGGCAATTTGGAAATACACAAAACACAATCGTTAGCTGTTAGTAGCACTTAAAATTATTTCCTTTTTGGCTCTCATTTAGTCTGTTAATGTGAGGTCTCATTTGTAACAAATGTGCCGCTTTGGTGGGAGGATGTTGGTAATAGGAAGGCTCCGTATGTGTGAGGACATCATAGCATACGGATTATCTCTGTACCTTTCTCAGCTTTGCTAAAACTAAAACTGCTCTTAAAATTCAATCATTTAGACCCTCCGACCTGGGCAGGCCCACCAGCTAACAGCTGGGCCGCACCGGGCACCTCCAATAATACTCCCCACACCTCACCCCACCCCACCCCCACCCCGAGCCTCTGGCCTTTTGGCTGTGCAGCTACTTGGTTACACACTGCAGAGGCACAGGGGGACAAAAGCCATTGTCCTGAGCGCCAGGAGTGAACAACAGAGAGAGTGCCTGTCTCAGGCTCCCTGATGAAAACAAGCCCGCTGGAAAAGTGAAGGGAATCTCTGTAATAAAGGCACACCAGACCACCATGTGTGGTAAGTTGGAGGGATCATCAGCTCCCATGGGAAACTGGACTTTCTTCAGGGGAAAAGCAGCTGAAACCTGCAGTAGAAACTTGCAGAGTGCAACCCTGCAGAAGGACAGGGAGCTCAGCTTGGGACTTGCAACCAGAAATCTGCCTGAATCTCACGGGTCTGGGACTAGCTTACTGAGACTCATTGATTTACACCTGCACACTGCTGCCCACGTTGTCTATTGTGACAGCAGAGACATGCCTTGAAGGAGGCCCTTCATTTTTTAAAGGTGATAGATTAATAACTACCACAAACTGTCATTCTCTAAGAGGTATTTGATGCTATGGTGTTGCTGATTGTATGACTTGGGCTAAGGTGTCGTGATTGATCTAAACAGTTTTCCTTCCTGGTATAAGGAAAATGAGATAGCCTCAGAGTCATTAGAGACTCAAAACCTAAAGACCAGCTATATCTGGAAGACACCTCTGAGAAGCAATCATTCCATAAGAGTTTTAAATAGACCAACAAAGATACTTACAATAAACAACTTCATAATATCAGCCCAGGAATTAAACCAGGGAGAGTACCAAAAACAAAAATGAGAAGGCATTTAAGCAAGTCACAAACCCAGACTTCCACCCCACAAAAGGCAATTTCTGGGGGAAATGAGGTGCAAAAGTCTGA